TTTATGCATGCAAGGTTCACTTTTATATGTATTAGCAAAAACATTCAGCATAATATAATAAATACTGCATGAAGTTGAGAGTAACATTGAAAATTTTCACCCCAAGAAAACCATTGTCAACCGAGGCTCAATATCCTGAATCCTTGGATATCTTGAAGTTCTTTCTCAGTAATATAAAGTTTGAGATTGTATTATATAAATACTGCATGTAGTTGAGTGTAACCATGGCAACATTGAAAATTTTCAGCCTTAGAAAACCATTGTCAACCGATGCACAGCCGAGGTTGACAATGGTTTTCTTGGGGTGAAAATTTTCAATGTTACCCTCAATTGCAACTACATGAAGTATTTTTCATATCATACTGAATGTTTTATACAAATACACAGTACAGTGAGTCGCCCGCGTGGCGCAGTGGTTAGAGCGCCTGCTCTAGATTCGCGAAGTAAGGAGTTGATCCTTACGTCGCGGATTTGAATCCCACTGTGGGACGTGGAGACCGGTCCTTTGGATGAGACCGTATAAATCAAGGTCCCGTGTCGCAGTAGGTGCTGGCACAAAAAAGATCCCTCACTGCTCAAAGGCCGTAAGTGCAGAGTATAGGACAAAATTTGCAGCTCTCCACCGGCAAGTGGTGGCGTCTCCATATGAGTGAAATATTCTCGAGAGGGACATTAAACAACAAACAAACAAACAAACAATCACATTACAGTGAACCTTGCGCGCATAAATTCTGCAGAGTCAATATTTTTTTGGAATATCACCTGTAGTCAAGCAATGTCGACTGTTGCTATCCTGGAGGGTGTGGCTTCATTATTCAGCGGGTAATAGTGTTTTTAACAAATGTTTCTTGATGAATCAGATTCAACTAATTTACATGAAAGTATGATATTAAAAATTATGACTCAGTCGGCCTTTAATCTATCTAAGAGTACTACAATAAGTAAATGTTTGGGTTTTTTAATACATATAATACAATACAGAACAATGTGTTTGGATATAGCAAAGAGACAATCTCATTTATGCAATATGTTGTAAAAATGACAATTTAAAAAAAATATCTTGGAGTGGGGGGGGGGGTGGTCCTGAATCTGCCACTTTTAATGTACCCCAAAGTGGTCAATAAGTCACAACTTACTTAGGGAAGTCATTGATTATTAGTCTGATAATTAGTATGGGTTAGGAATTAACAAGACATATAGTATAGATTGAAATAGCAATACCTGCTTAACTGGGTTAGCAGAATAACAATGAAACTCCAAAAATTTTAAATACAGTCAAACCTTGATATCTAAGGATTCAAGATATCCAGGGCAAAATACCCAAAGAATAAGGGTTTGGGACTTCAAAATCCCTTTCAACATATCCATGATATTCAATATATCAGTGTCATGGATACTGAAGTTCAACTTAAGTAATTATTGCTTGAAAACTTGATATGTTTATATGCATATACACTATGCATATATGCATATGCACTATATGTTTGCACTATATATATACACAAACTAATTCTCATTAATTAGGAAACAGCAATATGTTGTTATACAGATATCATGATTTATCGAGTTTGGTGATGCATTGAATTCGCACATTTTAGGGTAAATACAATGTACAGAGCTACAGTTTATTAGACTTTTTAATAAGATTTCTTGTCGCCTGCATGACGCAGTGGTTAGGGTGTCTGCTCTAGAGTCGCGGAGTAAGGAGTTGATCCTTACGTCGCAGGTTCGAAATCCCACTGCGGGTCGTGGAGACCGGTCCTTTGGATGAGACTGTATAAACCAAGGTCCCTTGTCACAGTAAGTGCTGGCTCGAAAAATATCCCTCACTGGCCCTGAGTGCCAAGTATAGGTCAACATTTGTAGCCCTACACCAGCAAGTGGTAGCATCTCTATATGAATGAAAAATTCTCAAGAGGGACATTAAACAACAAACAATCAATCGATCAACAAGATTTATTAACTGGAATGAAATCTATAAGACATCAGGCCTAAGGAAAAAAACATGCTTGTATACATGTACCATTACTTGCTAATAAAAAATAGGGTTGATAGGTAAAATTTTGTTTTTATTTTGTTTAAATTTTTTTTATAAAGGCATAAACATTGCAATTCATTTTTTTTAATAACAATTTGAAATTTTCGCAGAAAGATTGGAAATGACAAGGGTTAAAAACATGAAGAATGCTGAAAAAAAAATTTTAGGGAGTGCCAACTCACTTCGACATACATGTATCCCTGTATTTGAGATATCAGTGTTTTAGATAACAACCTTCATTAAAAGAAATTAAAATCTATAACAGGACATGAATGCCTTACCCAGGATAAGTTTTGATGAAACAAGGAAAAAAGCATCAGGCTTCTATGGTTCAAAATCAGAGTAAAGGAGGAATGATGAGGTCAAGGTCAAAGGAAACTTTATAAAGGTTTGAAGTATTATGACACAGTTGAATAACTCTCACCAATTTTGTGTTATTGTACGTTTGATAGAAATATTATGAATACTTTCTTTAAAAAAAAAGAGCTGTAACTAAAATAAATAGTAAGATTAATGATTAACAAAAGGAACAGGTCATAATTTGGACACAGTTGAAATGTTATCACCAATATGTGTCAGTGCAAGTGCATAGATAAAAATAAATTAAAAGATTTTTTTAAGACTAAGCTACATGCAAAATAAGGAATAGCGAGGTCAAGGTCAAAGGGAAGATCAAGATAAAAAAAATTGACATAGTTTATCTCAGATATGTGTATAGATAAAAATATCTTGAATAATTTCTTTGAAATTGAGCTAAATGCAGATTGAAATAGTTGGGTCAATATCATAGGGGTCACAATAAAAAATTCAGGACACATTTGAATACGTCTTACCAACATGTGATAGTACACTGTATGTGTATTTGGATAAAAAAAAAGTTCCTTTAAAACTGAACAAAATGCAAAATGAAAAAGCTAAGTCAAGGTAAAAAAAAATGGACACATTTGAATAGTTCTCACAATATATCATTGTGTGAATTTAGATAAAGATATCTTGAATACTAAGTATTTCCTTTGAAAATCAGCTGAATGTTAAATTCAAGTGTAGTAAAGTCAATATCATAGGGATAGTCAGACTTTCAGAGGATTGTTGGAAACATGCATTAAATTATAATTATTTCTGATTTAATTGTAATATTATTTTGTTTAGTTTTGAGGATAGGGGAGTCATATTCAACTTTTTCTATTATATTGTCAATTTCTATCAGAGCCTTCCTATTTGTGGATTTTTTTATGCACTGTACAGCAAATACCTGACCATCCTTAGATTTATTTGCAACTTTTATGAGACTATATAGCAGGCAACACATGTTTTTTTCTTGGAACACTCTAGATAAACATAAGTATGTACAAGTAAATATTTTTTGGAAAGAATTTTCAGCATAATGTCATGAACCACAGAAAGCATACAAAATAATGCAACATCTGCTTAATAAGTATATTTGGCTTCGTATTCTTAATTACTAGGATAATTTGAATTGCAATATCAATTACATTCAAGTTTCCACAAATTTATAGTCCATGAATAAGAGACTAGGCAATATTATTCACCAGAGTGGGACCAGTGCATAAACATAGATTTATAAAGTCTTAAATAAATTGGTCTCATACCTTCCACTGCAGTGAAAGAATATATTTCCCGTCCTCATTTTGTATGAAAATTAAATCAAAGTAAATTAAAGTTCATAAATACCCCTGTACATATATACAATATAATATGACCTTTAAATTTCTCCTTCATCAGCCATGTTGAGGCTGTTATATAGATGGCTACTACTTGAAGGGTACAGACTCCATTCAGTTGCAAAATATTTGGTGATTTCCTTTTTTAAATGAAATAATTTTGGGAATTTTAAACGTGCATGATTTTGGATATCAAGCAACCTGAAAATGTTTGAAAGTTGTATAAAATCTTACTTGACCATGAGATTTTTTATTTCTAAGGAAATATGACATGCATTGGATTGTTTTTCTTGTAATTCTAGCAGGGATATATCCACTGCAATTCAATCAAGGATGTAAAGAGATTTTCCTCTGGTAAATTGTATTCTATACATCCTCAGAGGCTGAAGCAGCAAGCTAACTTGTAATACAAGATTTGTTTGTATAGCAAGCCAGCTGGTGTAATTTAGTATACATGTACTATGTACAGCTTGAGCTGAAGGTAAAATATTGTGATGTCACAAGGCATAGTTAAAAAGCACTGGGGCCTTCTGCACACATGTATGGAATACAACACAGAGTAAATCCCCTACACCCTTGATTCAGCCTCAAGGTGTATGGAATACAATCCAGGGTAAATCCCCATACACTCTTGACTAAAAGTATATTATATGCTTCTAACATACTGTCTAAATCTTAAATGTAGCATACTTTCTAAATCTAAATTGATTAATTAATTTCCTGATAATTTGATTATATTGATTAATTTGACAGTTTTGCACTGAAGGCCAGGTCTAAATTGTTTAAAAACTAGGAGGAACCTGTGATTTGAGGGTTTATTTCATGGATTTGAATAACTACATGTATTTGAGTCTTTTCTCAATTCATAATAAAATCAGGGACCTTTATTAGGAGGGTGTTCGGGGGGGGGGGGGGGCGCCAACTCCCCTGTTATAACCAAAATTATTCGTATAAAGATTAAGAAATTTTTATATTGTTGTTGCTAATTGCATTTATAATTTGTGTCCCAGGCCCTTAATCTTTAGACACCCTTCTGGATCCGCCACTGCCCTACAGTTACTGAGTTATATAGATTATGTATCTAGGGTCTTTTGTTGTTAAAATGACTTGTCCCACCCTAAAATGGCCAAAATAAGTACCTTTGCCATCATACTTTGCAACTGTCCCACTCTAAAAGTCATAAACATTGCCTGCATATTACAAGATTTTCACTTTTCAGAAATGTGCTGGTTACCGGAAGTTCACAAGAACCAGTCAAGCGAAGGTAACACCCTACAACATGAACATGAACTGATCACTGAGACTGCATTGCGTATGAAAGACAGTTTTGTAAGTATTTGTAAGCTTTAAAGTATAAAAATCTTCTCTTTTTACTTTTGAAGATGGAAATTTAGAAGATGCTTGAAGTTCATCGTATGTACTGTGAACTTTGGAAAGTTGTCACTTAGTTGAGAAAATTCGAACTAGGTCAGTTGTATGTGTCAATTTTTCGGAACGATAATCTTTATAGTGCCCGTTTTATTCATTTTTTATACACGTACAATGAACACAGTTGGGCCTGCATTACAGTCTATCCTTGTTTGGGATTGGGAAACACAGAAAGGTTACAGTGTCTGTTTAAGGGTTTTTGGTCAACTCGTAACCAGCCTCGTATGATCGTATCTAGGTCAGATCTCCTCCTACAAGTAAGAGCCTCGGTTAAACGTCCGTACGCTCCTTATATACCTCGGAGCGCCAAGTCAAAAGTATATCGCCGTGAACCTCTAGCATGTTGAGTAGATCAGATCAAACCCAATAGGTCAAGTCATATTAATGAAACGACAAAATTCAACTCGTAACCAGGAGAATTGTTACAAGCTGACTCCCCTATATAAATTGATGACAACTCATAACTTAACAATATTAACAATTTATTACCTCTTCTGAGGTCAACATGGTGAAATACGGACCCAAGACTTGGTCTACGAGGTTAACTGACCTGACCATAGATAGAATGTTCTATCATTAAAATGATAAATGTCCTACGGACCCTGTTCAACGATAGAATGCATTCCGTGTATTGTCCATGTAGCAAAGAAAATATGGGAGATAACTCTAACTTTGTGCATTTACTATGAAATATCCCGAGAGTTCTCAATGTCAACATCTTGTGTAAATTTGAAACGAGTAAAAAATGTTGGTGAAAAAGTGTTGAATTCTTCCATTATATGGATTAAATTTTTAGATGAAAGGTATTTACAGTCTCAAAAGGTTTTTTATGATTAATTTGACTGTTATTTTCAATGCAACTTCATTAATTTTCTCCAAAATCATTTCCGAGCGATTCTGCAATTTTCTGCTATATTATTGGTACATGTATATGGGAGGGATTCTAACTGTAGTGAGGGCCTGTCCCAAGACACAGTTAGATTATTCTAATTAACCTGACCAAGGCCACGTAGTGGCCGAGGTCATGTCTGGTTAGCAAGTCGGTCATGTCAAGGGTCCTTCTTTTCACCATGTGGAACTCATATGGGGTATCAATTGTTTTACAATACCGATAAGAAAATTATATATTATACACTTGAGTGCATGATATTGCATTACATTACCAATGTTTTTTGAATGGGATCTTGATTCGCTAGTGAAGTTGTTTATGCTGACTTCTGCAAGTTATGTTAGTTTTTGCATCATGATTTACTGATTAAAACAATTTTTGATTGACAGTAACATGCATTAAATTGTTATGCCCTGTTCACACGGAGAGTTTAATTCGCAGTAAATTAATGCGAAGTAAATAATGTGAATTAAAATAATGCAAATTAAATTGTGTTCACACTACAGCTAATGCGAAGTAAACTAATGGGAATTAAAATTTTATTTCTACAGTAAGGCTATTCAGTAAGGCTATTATGATGTCATTTTCAAATCACGTCGCCTTATGCGCAGCAAACCCATATTACATTCTGTCATAGTCTCTATGCACATTTCAGTGATTAACATAATTTTTCACCAAATTTTGCAATTCTCGGCCGATCAGGGGCATGTGTTGATTTAACATGTTTAAGTGATTCAAATTAAGAGATAATTATGGGATATTCCAAATTATTGACTCAACGAAATTGAGCCTATGATATTTTCTGAAAGAAGAACAGAGGCCAGTATATATATATAATTATAATAGTAACTTGATCCGAAGAGCCGTATCATGTCAAGTTGACATGCACGGATCATCAGATCAAATCAGTTTGATCTGATGATCCGCGCCTGTCAACGAGACGTAATACGGGTCTCAGGATCAAGTTACTGTTATAATGATAAATTTATTATATACCCCTTTACAACTAGCAAAATATAATAAAAGGAAACTTTTAGGATCAATTACATAACTTTTATCCATTAAGCAAACCATTTTATCAAGGAACTTTTTGATCCGTGAGAATAAAAACAGCATTTATCTGTGTCAACTCAAAACCATATATGTTTGTATGTTAACATGTTAAGATTTGAATTGCCTTGGGTACGACTTGACTATGGCCATATGGCATTGGGTGGCAGGGGATAGTTTCATACTATAGATTAGTACGCGCTGTCAAATTTCTTTAAAAACTGAGATATCCCCTGATTGATGTGATATTTTATGTAGAAAAATGAATAGAATAATTATGGGATACATGTACATGTGCAGTGTAGCAGAGCTTGCTGAGAAAAATGATGTGCATCATGTAGGTATCACTCTGATGCTTAGCATATATAGAGTTGTAAATGCGAAACTAAGACATTTGGTCAGTCGCAGAGGAAATTCAGCTGAAAAGCAGTGGTGTGCATCTCAGAGGGAAGGTGAATGGCCCCAGATCAATTGGTGAATTTTCATTAGGGCATGCATTGTTCTACAGAATACTGGCTGTTTTATCCTGCTCGCTCGGGAATGGGATGGGCTGTATAGGTGCGACAGCAGCCCAAATCTTGGAAAAACAAGCCAAAATCTTTGGAGACCTCCAAGTGCATTTTTGGTACATGTGCACTTTAATATGTAGGTTACATGTTATACGTTGACACATTTTTTGAGCTATAGATATATGAAGTGCAATTAATTAGCACCCAAGAAACTGCCCCAAACTATGATCTGTTTTTATTGACCTCATGCATATGCCTACCCCCTCGGCACATGTTTGGCATTGAAAAGAAAAATTATCCCCTGCCACCTTGATAACAGATATGTGGAAATAAATTTTCTGTTTTTAGAACTTCATGGAGATTTGTCATCTATTACAGCAAGTATTTAGAATAAAATATATTTAAACCAAAATCATTTTTTAATGCCAACTTTTAGAGATCAAAGAGCGAGCCTAGATAATTAATTAGAATTTGTTAGTATGGTATTTCATTGTACATTTAAGGCCATTCCAAGTTTTTTCAATGTTTAGCGTCTGCGTGTGCCTTGGATTTTTTGACATCCCTTGACAAAAAAAAAAAAACAAACAAACAAACAAAATCAGGAGTCCTGAAATTGTTTATTCTGGTCGATTCACTGAATTCTGTCAATTTCTCTAAGTATTTGTCTACAATATGCCATATTTGGAATATTTTAAGCATTTAATACCTTGATTTTGCTGAAGATTAAATATTTCTACGAGAAAAATAGATTAATGGAATCATATTCTTTGAATGACATCATTTTTATGGCTATAATGACTTGTGTTTTACTTTTTGGTTTGTGTGTTTTTTGCGAATAGGTAGGGAAGTATTTGAAAGATGGGTGGATGCTAAACATAGAAAAAACTTGGAATGGCCTAAGGTAATATTTTCCATATGCATCAATTTCATAAATCTGTGGTGCAGCCATGCAAAATGACTTGATATTTTGGAGTTAGGAACCACATCAGAGGAGAAGTTTGTTGCTTAGCCAGTGGATGTCAATATGTTGATTGGTGGCTCTGATTTTATTAGGTCACCTGAGTCACTCAGGTGACCTATTGCTACATGTATCTGTTTTCATCCGTCGTCGTGCGGGTGTGCGTCTTGCATAAACTTTTTACATTTTCAACTTCTTCTCAAGAACCACCGGGCCAATTTCAACCAAACTTGCAACAAAGTATCCTTGGGTAAAGGTAATTCAAGTTTGTTCAAATGAAGCGCCACACCGTCTTCCAAGGGGAGATAACTAAGAATTAGTGAAAAATTAATGGCATCTTTTAAAAATCTTCTCAAGAACCACTGGACCAGGTAAGATGAAACTAATGTGGAAACATCCTCAGGTAGTGTAGACTCAAGTTTGTTAAAATCATAACTCCCAGGGGTAGGGTGGGGCCACAATGGACGATCAAAGTTTTACATTATTGGAATACATAGGAAAAATCTTTAAAAATCTTCTTCTCCAGAACCACTGGGCCAAGAAAGATAAAACTTACGTGGAAACATCCCCAGGTAGTGTAGATTCAAGTTTGTTCAAATCATGACCCCTGGGCAGGGGTGTGCAATTACAAAAATTAGTTACTAGCCTGGGCTAGTGGAAGTAACAAAGTTACTAGCTCGAGGTTGACAATCGTCACTAGCCCATTAACTACCGGAAACAATACATGTATAAGTATAACAAAAAGGTAAAAAAAAAAAAAAAAAATTTAAGTTGAAATAAATAAAACAAATAATGGTTTCCACTATGTTATTGTCAGGTACTTCTCCCTATTTTTATTGAATATAATTGTGACAGTCACTGAAACGACTGGCGATAGCAACACACAATACATATATGTTGAAAAGAATTAAAGATTATGATTTTACAACAAAGTTAATTCGTACATCAATTCAGTCGATGTAAATATACATATACTTTCGTTTCAGATTTACTAGCCCGACAGGCTAATGCAGTATAGATTTATGATAGCCCAACCTCTAAAATTGGTAGCCCTGAGCATTGGGCAATGGTAATTGCACACCCCTGCGGGGGGCAGGGCGGGTCACAATGGGAGATCAAAGTTTTACATGGGAATACATTGGAAAAATCTTCTCCAGAACCACTGGGCCAAGAAAGATGAAACTGATGTAGAAACATCTTCAGGTAGTGTAGATTCAAATTTCTTAAAATGATGAACCCCGGGGAGGGTGGGGCCATAATGAACAATGAAATTTTTACATTGGAATACATAGGAAAAATCTTGAAAAAATTATTTTCTCAAGAACAGCAAAGCCATGATTGGTTATATTTACATGGAAGCATCCTCAGGTATTAGAGTGGGGCCACAATTTATGATCAAAGATTTACATATGAATACATAGGAAAAATCTTTAACAATCTTCTTCTCAAGAATAGCAAAGCCATGATTTGTCTTATTTATATGGAAGCATCCTTGGGTAATGTAAATTCAAATTTGTTCAAATCATGACCCCCTGGGGTAGGGAGGGGACACAACAGGTGATCGAATTTTAGTTAGGAATATATATGAAAGATCATTTAAAAATTTTCTTCTCAAGAACAACAAAGTCATGATTAGTCATTTTAATACAGAAACATCTTCAGGTGCTGTAGATCACTAAATTTTCGGGACACTTCATTTTCGCAAGATAGTCACTGACTCCTTATTAGCGAAATGTGTTTGCTGTATATAATCTTTAGGAATACTAAGATAAGTGAGAATGAAATTTTCACGAGCACACTGTCTCACGTAATTACGCAAAAATAAAGTTCTTGTGAATAAAAAGTGTTTTACAGTAGTGTAGATTCAAGATTATTCAAATTATGACCCTCGGGGGTAGGGTGGGGGCATATTAGAAAATAAAACTTATAGGAAAAAAATCTAAATTGGGGACAGATTAGAACTTAATTTATGAGTTGTTACTCAATATTAGACTAATTATTTCGAAGATCATGATCATCCTATTTTTCTTGCTTTTGGGCAACAAATTAAGGTTCTATCAGTTTATTTTATACTCTATGGATCCTCTATGGATTATTGTTTTATACTCACGTGACCGTTAAGGCCCTTGGGCCTCTTGTTATATGATACATCATGGATATCATTTAATTTCGATGACGAATACCAAGAGTGCAGACTGCAATGAACTTACAAACTAGAAAATCAGGCTTTCTTGCATTTCGTGGGGTCAGCCAAATGGCACAGTGCACATTTTACACTAATAAAGTGGCTATACAAGCTATAATTTGGGTCCATTAAAAATGAATTTGTAATTTTTTTTATTTGTTTACCGAATAAAATTATGAAAATGTTGTAAATCACACTTGAAATTGAACATGTGATTTAGATGGCAAATCATAATTATTGATTTTCGTTTGTGTCGGCATCCCGGTTAAAGTTTTAGGAGCAAGTCCATTCTCAAGTAACTATAAGCCGTACCTGGACCCAACTTACATGGATGATGCATCTAGGGATGGACAATACTAGACTTGCTTCAGATACTGGATCTGACCTAAATTTTTCTAGATGAGTGACCAGGTTAAAGTTTTTGGAGCAAGTCCATGCATTTCCAAGTAACTAAGCCCTACCTGAACCAAAGTTGCATGGAGGATGCACCTAGGGATTGACACTACCAGACTTGCTTTGGATGCTGGATCTAACCTTTATTTTCCAGATGAGTAATTATTAGCCTTACCAGAACCAAACTAGCATGGAATGATGTATCTAAAGATGGACACAAGAAGACTTGCTTTTGATGCTGAATCTGACCTACATTTTTCAGATATGTGACCAGAGTAATGTCTGGAGTAGCTCTATCACTATATGACATGTTATGACTAAACTTGCATGGATGACGAAACTAGGGATGGACACTACCAGACATGCTATGGATGCTGGAACTGACCTACATTTTCTTTATGAGTAAACAGTTTAAGTTTAAAGTTTTTGGAGCAGGTCTATTCCCATGCAACTATTAGTCCTACTTTAACCAAACTTGCATTGATAATTGATCTCGCACAAAATTGGTACAAGATTTACCTTACTTATGGATACACATGTACCATTCATTGAGCTTTGTAATCTTTGATTACCTATGTTTATATGTTTTAAAAAAAACTCAATAAACAGTTAACTTTTTTGTAAAAAGTATCACTAGTCAACCAAGAAACTTGTTTTCCCTTAGATCCAACACAAGTTTTGGTGGTCATTTGATTACAGGCAAAGAATTGATTAAAATTTAAAAAAAATCTTCTAATATTTGGTCGATAAAATATTTCAGGAGGGATCATTTCAATGACAAAACAAAAGGTTAATGGTTTTCAAAAGGGTGTCAATTTCATTTGTTACCCTCCAAAACAGGCACCATTTATATAGTATGTTATGAATTAAAGCTTATGTATTCCCTGATCACATCTATTTTCAGAGAAGACGAATGTCACCTTCGTCAGAAGCAGATTTTTACTGCCAGGCTGGCTTTGACCAAAAAGGTTTTGAGATCAAATTTATATCAGACTATAAAAGTAAGTTTATATTATTAATTTACTCTCAACATCTGTGGTTTTGTTTTGTAAAGTGGATGGATGTAGAAAGAATGATAATATTGCTTGAATTTCATATTTTTTCATTACATGATTATAATTTTATATACTCTTAATTTATAGTTTTGTGCAAAAAAGTTAAAATCCAGATTGATCTGTATTTAAATTTAAGTTTGTATATTTTTTCCAAAAAATATTTTTTGTATAATTTTTAACATAAATGATGCTTAAACAAATTGGAAATACTGGGGCTGATTTTAGAGCAATCCCCTAGTTACAATATGATGTCACACAAAGACACATTTAGAAGAAGACTTATACCTGGAAAATAAGATCTCAGAATCTGAATTGATAAATTTTTTTGTAATATTTTGTGTCTATAAGTAAGTCTTTTATTGAACCTATTTGACCAAAGTGAGCATCGTGGCCCATGGGCCTCTTGTTTGAAGACAGTTTTAATTTTTAAAAGGTGATGTTGAATCTAAATGCTTTGATGTTTTAGACATCCAAATGGCTAGCTCAGATGTGGAAGTGGAATCGGACCCTTTTAGTTGGGAATTTAATGGAAATTCATTTGACAGTGATGATGATGATGAGATTAATTCAGGTAATATATATAAATATAATTATACAAGTTGCACTACCCAGTCTGCTGTTAAGCTAATTTCATGATATCATAATGTCAAAAAGAGGGATTTAATATTTATCATGTTTATTCACATGTTTTTGGACACAAACTATTTTTTGAGGCGCATCCCTAACAGCAATGTGGCCTCATTGCAGTCAACCCCCATTTATTTCTTTTCAATTACTGCGGCGACAAAGGACTCCACAATATTGATTCTAAATACGCCATTGAAAATAGAGCAAATGTATATTGACAAGTTGGTGATATTCATTGTCTATTTTAAATACCAAATAACATAAAATCTCACATATATATGTTGTTTATACTTTGAAAGCAACAAAGATAACAAAAAAGAAACAATTACAAAACAAAACAAAAATAGAGAAAGAGAGAAAACAACAACAAACAAACATGTGCTATGCGGAGTAAGATCTATTTACATTGCAACAGCTCTTGCCATAAATTATTAGGCCTTGTAATACGACATTGCTTGTACGAATATCTGAGAAAAATATACAATAATTTTATTTTATAAAACATCACTAACAGTAGGAACAAGATGGTTGTTTTTATAGAAGTAGAAGGGATATCATTATTTTTTCACTTGATGAAACGAATAGTAAGATGTTCAACTGAATAAATTTTTGCAACAAGGGCCACCTTTCGCAGTCAAGACGAACTCTAAAAACAGCATGAACTCCGAAAACGAAGTCTTTGGCTCCATCATGCATTGCGGCAAAATGGCGTCCGATGTAAACAAACGATGGATTGTCGTTCGCTTTCTTCAAATATACGGCTGCATAATGGCTGTATTTAGTGCATTGTGACTTGACTTTAATTTTGTTGAATGGATAATTATATTTATGAAATTACTCGAATTCAATACTGCCGGTAAGAATTATTTTCTTATTTGATTTATTGTCTCCTTGATTTAAATTTTATGTTGTTCCTACGATATCTAGGTGCTTTTACTTGTTTTTGAAGACACCCAGCTTGTATGTATTTTAATTAGAAAATGCGCATTTTTCACTACGGAGCAGAGATATTCACAGGTTTATATTTAGAAGACATGTTGTGACCTTAATTTCTAGAAGAGTGGTTTTTAAAGATTTCATTTTGATAGCTAATAGTTTTAAAAATGTTTTCATAATAATATCTGTTCATATGTGATAAAAAAAAATCGGTAAATAACCATGGTAAGAACTTACGCGTTTTATTCAGATGTCGTACACAAATAAGAATACCGGAATGCTAATATATGTGTAAAATTCAGTCAAGTTTTTAACAGTTACAATATGTATTGTCCCATTTTGCATATATATCCCTTTTATTATGCATATTTACTTCTCAAACGTATCATTTTCTCTGTAATTGACCTGACTTCAAACGTCAACTTTGAAAGTAAATATCTCCTTTTTTGCAAATAAAATAAAAAATCTGACAAATACGATCTCTTCCGAAGTCTTTTATTTAGCATTTCTGAGTACTGGCATAATTGCCATACTTTCCAAAACTTTGCACAGACAGTTTTTGTAGACCCATCATTTTTGCCGAAAAATCGCTATTTTTTGTGCGTGTGCGCATGCGCGGACTCTATTTTCGGAGTCTTTTTCAGTCTCAATTTCTTACTTCCGGAAAAGCAAAGCTGTTTTTGGAGTTTGTCTAGACTGTTTTGGGAAAAAAATTCCACGAGGAAGGGTGACACGAAACAGTGAAATGATCGGTTTTTGGTAAAATGTCAGTTGAGTATGATAAAATATCTGATAAAAAATTGCAATGACAGTGGATTTCAATTTATAGGTTTACTAATACCGTATAAACATAGACTTTTTGAGTTAATTTTATCGAAAATATCGGAGGAAACGTGTTTCATAGTATACCGTATACCACTCCCGATTGGTTTTTTTTTTTTCAGTCCGAATTATATAAACATTTCATGTATCCCACTATGGTTTACGTATTATGTCATTTTGATTGATAAAACTAGTCTAAGACAAAGTATTGATATTTAAAAAAAAAATGCTCATAATGAAAGAAACAGAAAAAATTCAGATATGAAATTATATAGAATTATTCAATAATCATTCATTTCTAAATTCTCGTTCATTATTTCATCTTTCTACTATGTTTATAATGAAAGAATAAAAAAAAATAAAAGTATAATTAAAATCAATTATAGATTAATTTAAATATCAATGAATTATAATTGATATATCAGACTATCTTTAAAAAAATGTTTGTTTGCCCTCTTCCAACCGACTAAAAAAATGCCACAACTCAAAATCTTTTTTTAACCTCAAAGAAATGATATTTTTAATTTTTATTTTTATTCCTGATTTTTTTTCGTTCCCTCAAGATGTATGTCGAATTTTTCTAAGTAAAAAAATTTCAGTTTTCTACCTTCAGTGCGATGCGTCTCTCAGGCCTTCAGGCCTTTGATTTTATGTAATGCCACCATCAGTATCAATACTTCATAAAGATAGGCTTCACCCAGTCTGACTATTAAGCTAGATTTATAATAAGGTTAAGAACAAGGATATATTTTCATCAAGGAGCAGAGGTCTAGCTTCCATTTGTTGCAGTGTCTCCTAAATTGTGCACATCATTGAAGAACCATTTATAAAATTTTCAAATCAATCAGCCAGAACATTGTTATAGCAAACATGCTTAAAATGAATTTATATGCTTACATTGAAGTGATTTCCTTCCCCATAGATTTAAAATTGTTGTAAATGGAAAGTTTATGATTATAAAGAATTAAATATTTTGGTCCCCGGCTCTTTGCTATTGTAAGCATGTTTTACTGTATTACTCCCTGTTGTTTGAATAATTAATTTATCTTTATTTTGTGTGATGCCATTTTAACCATTTCTACTAGTGTTGTCAACGAGTACCTGGTTAACCGGTTAATCGGCAAACAATGCGAGTATCAGATAGTAAAACTGCTACTCAGTTACTCGGATATATAGACAAAAGTAGAAAAGAAATGTTATTTTGTTCAGAAATGAATGTACACCTCTACCATTTTATTTACCGTTATTTAACGTTAGACTTGATCTAGCGTTTCACAAACATGACCGATTTGTTTTGATAACACTTAGTTTTCACAGCTTATCTAATCAATGGCTTTGATTGCCAAGCAGTATACAATGTAGAAAACCTGGGTTAATTATAATTACCTCACTTATACTGTGCTAGTCCGCAGTACAGGATTAATTTTAAACAAGATGCCTCCACAGCCATCAAAAGCATAGATTCCGAAATGTTTTAAAAGAATTTAAATCCGAAAGGTGTAAAATATGTAAAATGAAATTAACATACACAGAAACGAAACTAAAGTAAGATTATATTTAGGACATCCGCAAAAATTGCCAACTATTACAGGATATTCAAGAACAAATTCATTTAGAAGCTTTAATTTGTCTTTGTGTAATTAAAAATAAATAAATGAAATGCATCTACAGTGCATTTGCGTTTGATATTGGCCAGTATGTAAATGTTAAACATGGAAATTGTAATGACGTTACATATATTACAGTTATTATTGAATACATACCATGAGCAAGGATGTTTAAAGGTCTATAAAAAAATCCATCCGTGTAACTGTTTACTTGATCGGAAAAGTAAGCGAGTAATCGGTTACTAAAAATTGTCCGATTTGACAACACTTATAAGTATCAACACATAATTATAAGATTGGATACTGCTCGGTTCGGATGGCCAGAGTCATTTTTATGAAATAATTGAAGACATATTACTGGCATTTTGTTTTTCTTACATTACTTGAATTCTTGGTTGCCTACAACAAAAATATTTAAATTGATATTTGTAACAGAGATTTAATTTGCAAATTTAAAAATAATGTTACAGTAGTTAAGAACTGGAATTAGTATAAAAGTAAGAAGAACTGGTATACATTGCTAACACAATGAAGCATCGGCAAAGTATTGAAATTATGAAGAATAAGAATCAGAGTGAAATGTATTGAGCATGGATATGAAAAGAAGTGACATACTGTTATGAATGAGATTGAGTGGCCTCTTGCTTTTACTTAAGGATTTTCCAAAACACTGATTGATTTGTATTTGAGAATAAATTGTAGGATTCTTATGAGATGCAAATCCAATTTAAAAGCTTCATCAAATTAAAGACAGACTGAATTATATGTCAAAAGAATGTGAAATGGCATTTCATTTTGAAATAAAAACATGATTTCAACTCAGAAAAACCAATGGGGTACAAAGTAAACAAACTGGATTGACATACCTAGATTCTCTCTAATGGTTAATACATGTACGTTTAATTTGGGATGATTATTTTGATTCCATATTTCTTCTATGATATGCATTATAGATAAGTCTACTAAACATGTTTTATAGAGTTCACTACCCCAGGAGGTTAAATATTATGATTAGATATTATATTGTGTTTTTTGGTTTGTTTGTTTGTTTGTTTGTTTGTTTGGCGGGGGGGGGGGGGTTGCTGTTTACCAATCTCCTATGCAGAGTAGTCGTTCGTTCCTCTCTCACACCTCTGCAATGGGCTCGCGTCAAGATTTTTGACATAACGTAAAAAACATAATATTTCAAGGATTATTTCTTTATTATTACTTTCATTCTGAATGAAATATATTCATGTTACAGACATACATTTTTAGGGAAAAAAATATAAATTTTGCTATTTTCTATTCAGGGATATACTTTCATTGTTTATAATACTAGTTGAGCCATATATAATTTATCCATAGTAGGAACAAGTTGATGATGAATTTACTGCAAAGGAAATGTAGTTTGTTTTAACATTGCCAAATCACTCATTGTGTTCATAGTTAAGTGCTAGGTATTGCAAATTAAAAATCCTATTACAATACCTTGGATACATTGCAATATTAAATTTTGTATTGAAATATATTACAATATAACATTATTTCTATCTTTTTTGTTTTTTTTTTCTTTTTTCATCAAAGACAAAACATGTAGTATATTTTTTTCCTTCATTCCATAGCAACATTGATGTGAAGCCAGCAATTTTTTTCATGCTACGTACAGTATCTAATAATCTCTGCATTAGTCACATACCTCAGTATTTGTGTCGATGTTTTGAGTTTCTATCTTTAATTTTAAAATTTATCACGCAGATGTAGTGAATTTCCGTGTCAGAGGACAATAATTGCACACGTAGTGATTTTCCTTCCCAGAGTATATTATTTACACACACATGTAGTGAGTTTCCTTGCCAGAGTACATTATTTACACATATGTAGTGAGTTTCCTTGCCAGAGTATATTATTTACACAGATGTAGTGAGTTTCCTTGTCTGTTTAAAATTATCACACACATGTAGTGAGTTTCCTTGCCAGAGTACATTATTTACACAGATGTAGTGAGTTTCCTTGCCAGAGTACATTATTTACACAGATGTAGTGAGTTTCATTGCCAAAGTACATTATTTGCACACATGTAGTGAGTTTCCTTGCCAGGGTAAATTATTTACACTCATGTAGTGAGTTTCCTTGCCAGAGTACATTATTTACACATATGTAGTGAGTTTCCTTGCCAGAGTATATTATTTACACACACGTAGTGAGTTTCCTTGTCTGTTTAAAATTATCATACACATGTAGTGAGTTTCCTTGCCAGAGTACATTATTTGCACACATGTAGTGAGTTTCCTTGCCAGAGTACATTATTTACACACATGTAGTGAGTTTCCATGCCAGAGTACATTATTAACACACATGTAGTGAGTTTCCATGCCAGAGTACATTATTAACACACTTGTAGTGAGTTTCCTTGCCAGAGTGCATTATTTACCCACATGTAGTGAGTTTCCCTGTCTGTATACATTTATCACACAGATGTTGTGAGTTTCCTTGCATTGGTTTATTTTCATTTTCAATCAATGTTTGGAATCAGCTTCTAGTGTTTCAATGTTATCGATTATAATCAGACACCAGATTTCTACTTTACAAAGCATAATTTTGAAATTTTAAATTCAAAAGTAATGAGAATCTTTTATCAAGTATATTTTTAGAATCTACACACCTAGCTTAATTAAAAATCAAAACAAAAAATAGGGGTTAATGTGCTTCTCTTGGTGCTATTGAGCATTTAGTTTGACTTTTTTGCACTGTAAATACGTCTTACACATAAATCAATTTTTAAAGTTTTTCCTCCAATATTTTTTTCAAATAAATTATGGGAACAAACACAGTCTTATTTCACCTTGAATATATAGGTGTATTAAAATTTGTGACAACAAAAAATTTTCAAATTACTTTGCAAGTTCAATTATTTGACCTTTTTGCACTCAGAAAATATTTTTTTGGCATTAAAAAATTTATCAAGCAATAAAATATCTTGAAAGTAATGACATTTTACTGAATTTAAGAAGAATGGTTAAAAGTATTTTATATATTCAGAAAAGAAAATTAAAAGTGGGGGTCTGTGATGTTAATTTTTAGATATTACCAAAATAGTGCTAATTTTAAGCTTAATTTAAATTACGGCTATTTTTTCTGGATTTTCACAATATATTTGCTATACTTATCAAATATAATGATAGAATTCATGATATTTTATTTGATATATAATTTAGGACCAGCATAAAACAATTCATGGCTCAGAATAACTCTGTGTGTAGGCTGCATGGAAAAATAGGAATCCAAACTTAGCATACTTTAAATACTTTGAAAGAGAAAGAAATGATCATTTTCTTCTAAAAAAAAAAAACCTTCCGCCACAAAATATACTGTATGTGTGCATAAAATAGTGTATTCAAAATTTAGCGAAATCACTGGGTTTTGAGGTGTTGGCGACATCATGAATTAGCGCTATAAATGTCTGTACCATATATTGTATTTATAAATGATTTCTTAGTGATATTCATGAATTAGGGCATTGTTGTCTGCACCAAGGGCCCCCTAAAATATGAAGCCTGCTTTTTTAAGTACACATACAGTAGTTCCTCACTTAATGCTTTTGGTATGGAATTTAATCATGGAGTTTTAACTGAATGTATTTTAATTGGTATTGTAGAATCCAAATTTATTGTTAGAACTAAAACATTATGCAAATGTGGAAATATAGGTTAAGACAAAAATCTACTCAAAAGCTCTGGAGCATTTTACTTCTTCTGGAGAACCACTTAGCAATTTTAATTTGTTTAAATGAATGGTGACCAACTTTTCAAGGAGAAGTAGCTATGAAACAGTGAAAATTTGATTCATATAAAAATCTCCTTTTTATAAACCATTGAAACTTATGTGGAAGTGTCCTGACATGGTATAGATTCAAGTTTGCATGTTCAAATCTGACTTAATGGGGTAGGTGGAACCAGTATGGAATCAATATTTTGTTTACATCAACATATAAAAAAAATGTCATAATAAGATGCGGTCATAACATGGTAGTTTGTTCAATTGTCTTTTTGTAATTAAAAATAAATAAATGAAGTGCATCTACAGTGGGGTAGGATAGGGCTACAATGAAGGATTGAAGTTTTTCATTGGAATGTATGTCACAAGAGGACATTGATTAGTGATATTAATGTCCTAGCTGTTATCCTCAGAAAGTGCTGTACAATTTTTTTCCCAATCATGGTTCCTAGAGGTACCCGTAGAGTGGCACAACAATAGTGGATTAAAGTTTTTTGTGGGAATATAAAGGAAAAAAAATGTTTAAAATAAAAAAGAAATGGAATTTTTTTTAAATACAATGTATTTTGTGATAAAGAACAAACAGCAGCATTTTTTTTCTTCCATAACTGGTACCATTGAACAGAGCCATTCCACCAAAAATGTTAATTATTCCTAGTTTGAGAGCATTAATATTTTTCATCAAATTTTGAATTCGTCTATTTTTATGAGGAAAAAATTGTAAAATGCTAAGTTCAAGATCTTTGGGATTGGTATTTTGACTACTTTGTATGGACATTCTTTAAATAGTGCACTGTGCACAAATTTGGTTGAGAATGCACATTTAGTTAAGTATTTTAGTATATCCCTATTCGTTCAAGCTATATATACTGTCCTGTCTGTCCACTTTATTTTGCAAGTCATCTAAATATTTAAGTGGTAGCCAAAGAAATTCATTTTCAGGTGATTGATTAGTTTTTGTAGATGTGTATGAATTTTGATCTCTCCCCTGAAGCTAAGCTGAAGTGAAGTGATAATTCTGTTGAACATGAATTGTTAGATATCAAATGAATTCCAAACTTTAAGACTTCGTTTCAATATGAAGGGATATGTTAAGATTCGAGCATTGATTGGTGTATACAATTAAAAGAATGTCTTTGTGCTTGCATGATGAACTGGGTTGAAAAATTTTGAAAATATTAAATGTTTCACTCAGCTTGTTGTGATCCTCCTGGACATCCAAGTGTTTTCGACATTGATGAAGATTTTGTCAATCTCTCTCTTGGACCAAACCAAGAAATGATGGTTTTAAGAAGATTATAGGATATGTCATAGAATACGAAGACCCCACCACTGGAGGCAGGCTAATGACTACCCAGTAGATGAGTGTGTTTATGAGGGTGAGTAACTGATTACTTGTTGACACATGTATCTTTCTTATGAACTAGTAAGTGGATTTACATGTCCTTTTGTTGCATGTAATTAGTATATTATGGCTGAAAACTGTGAAAAGATGTTTTACAAAAGTGATTCTTGAAATTTGTTTTGTTTACAAAACTTGAATTTGAGAGTTTTTTCATCAGTGAAGGGATTAAAAAAGGACAAGGAATACAACTTCCACATACAGGCCAAGAATCTTGAAGGTTTTTAAATCAGTGAGTCTAGTGATGTGATTGGTCCCATAACTCCCAAGCCCAAATACAGTAAGTATATTTGAAAAAAATTATAACATTTTAAAAAACAATTACCATATTGTACTTTATTTCAATTATTTTTTCTTTCACGTTTTTAAACTTTTATTTTAGCCAAGGTTTTGCCACCTGGTGTACCAGAGGCTGTCAACAATTCTATAACTTATCTGAAATGGGAACCACCTAAACATAATGGTGGCTGTAAAATTACAGGTACTAATTTAAAAGTAGAATAAAAAAAGGGAAATGTTGATCTCTGTTCAAAACCACATAAACACTGTAGCAGTTGATAATATTGATTATCTTTGTAGACTACCTTGTAGAAGAGAAGTTTAAGGGAACAGAGAAATGAGTACCCCTGCACTGACCCCTCTTTACTGTCACCGATCTTCCTCAGGACTCAGAGTGGGAGTTTAGAGTTACAGCTGATAACTTTGCTTGAAACTGTGAGCCCAGTCTGTGCTCACCAGCATACAAAATCCAGGAGAAGATTGGTATGTTGTCAAGTTAATAAATGTATCGTACACTATTATGGTACTAGAAAAAAGATTTGGAGGTCAAATTAAACCATAATGTGTATTTTCTTCTCAAAGCCCATAATACTCTCACTTTACTGGTCAGGAGCTGAAATTTATGTGAAAGCTTCCTGATGTAATAAAGATTTTAAATTGTTCAAAAAATGGCCTTTGAGGTAGATGGGGCCACAATAGGGGATCAAAGATTTACCTTGAAATATATACATACATTTATGTACTAGTTAAAATCTTTACAAATCCTCTTAAATGCGTGTCTACGAGAAAACCATGCAAAATCCAAATTTTATTATGAAAGGCATTGTGATCATTTTGACTGATTTTATTGTTTCTGATTAGCATCATGTGTCCTCTAATAAATCCCAGTATCAAAACTGTCAGGTACCTTTGGGGATCCCTATTATAGCCCTATATTCTATTTTTAGCACATTTTATGAAAATATTTTGAAAAACACCCATAGATTAAGAGAAAAAAATTGCAGGAAAAAATGCATTTTCATTCAAATGTTACATATTAAATAAATTTAAAGGAAGTGCTCTAACTAGAAATATTTTATTTAATTTCATTTATCAACACTGATTCTGTAAAAGTGGGGTCTAAAATTAGATTAAATCAGTGTGTTTAAAATACCACTATCTTTAGAATGCTGTAAAAACCCAAGAAACGCTTAAAACATTATAAATATCAGTTTAATTACAAAAATCCTTCAAAATCAATATATAGTTAAAAGGAATTTGGTTGCAAATGGCATTATGCTAATTTAAAAATAGATTGAAGTTGGCTGAAACTATTAGAAAAATTATCTCCCTTAGTGGAACTCTCCTTATTTAAAGGAATTAAAAGTGTGATGTCTTAATGGCAGACGAAAAGATGAAGTGTTGATTTGAGGACAATATTATGATAAAAGATCTCTAGCTTTGTTGAAAGATTGTAAAATAGATTCAGCTGAATATACAAGGTATTTTAAATGCAGCACATAAGACATTTCTGTCCGTGAAACGCTTCTTATCGTTAACCATCTTGAACCATACAGCTGTTATGGGACTTGGACAGTCTAATTTCTGTAAACATACCTACATGTACATGTATGTGTCAAACACAGAAATATACTTGGTCTACACTGGAAAAGGAAAAAAGAACATGTTGTCACCCATACCTGATAGGGGAGACGCTATTATGCAAACCCGTTAACCGAGAGGGTCAAGCTGAATGAGGTTTTGGCTTTGGAACTGGTAAGAACATTATACAGTTTAAAAACTTAAGGAATTTTGCTAAACCATTGAAATTAACTTAATTTCTGACCTTAAAGTTTTCAGAGAGACACTGTACATGATATTTGGGTTGTCAATAAGAAATGAAACAGATTTATAAAAAAAAAAAAAAAAAAAGCATGTTGGGGGTTCCTCCCCTTAGTGAGGGTTGAGAGGGCAATACCAGAGTAATTTGGGAATTATGTCATTATAGGTGAAGAAATTCCCCAGTCCCACAGGTCTTAAGGACAACCCTATACATGTAAATACAATATCACAAAGTGATATCATAATTGGAAATATTTACTGACTTTGTGTTTATAGTTTGTGAAAACCTATTGATATCAAGTTTATACAACTTACATGTCCAATCTATAATGATTTATATCTATCAACTAATTTGATTCCTAATTGTTACAGGTATATGCAAAAGATGTATAGAAACACACTTTAAAAAATCAGTATGGAAGTAAAGCTGAAGGAAGAGCTTAAAGGTACATATACATATACTGTGTGTTTATAATTATATGTAAATTTTAAAGTTTTATCAAATTATTTCTAAAATTTACTCAGTAGCTTATACATCAAGTTTCACTTATGAAGCAAAATTACCTGCTTTTATTATGTTATAGCTGAAATACATGTAAAAAGTGAAAACTCTTGGGCAGCAGTCCACTTGCTAATTCTTGTTCTCATTTGAGTATATTTAGTACTCACATAAATTAAGGATTCTACAGTAAATGTTGATGAATGGCTTTTACACTCAATAGTTTCATAATATTGATCATTTCACATGTAAATGATCCAATCCTGATTGGAAATAAAATTTCAATTGCATATTGTTTTGAATTAGTTCTAAAAATAAAATCTCAAGTGTGATTTCTGTTTCATTTTATGTGTACATAACTGGTTATAAGTATTCATGTAACTATGAGGATTATTAAGTATTGTATAGTTAATATTAAAATTAATGTTTATTCTTTAGCAGAAATGTGTTCCTATTGACAAGGCAACAATTGAATCAAACCAAACAGGTGATCACTTACTGTAATATAATATAATATTTTTAAGGTTCTACATAATAATAAAGATAATGTCAATGTTTAATATCTCAAAAAAATAAAATTAACAAATATGTTTCATTTCCACACTGAAAAATATAACCAAGTGGACATTGTTCTCATGCAGTTCAATGACATGAACCAGAGTTTGTACATGTGGTTAACATTTTATAATGTATACATACAAGTTACTATAATCATGATAATATACATGTAACTGCTCATTCACATTACTGATAAGTAAAATAACAAAGAACAATTTATGTGAAGTAAGGTCTAAATGGTGAAGATGCCTGAATATGTGACTGATAAACTGAAAAGTCCAGTCCATATAGTTCAAGTTTTGAGCTTTAAAATTATTTAATTATGATTCATTCAAAATGTTTCAGCATTAGCATTTTTAGCATTAACTGTAATGTATAAGGGTATATATACTTCATGGCTTTTTCAATTATTTTACAGAGCAAAGAGTGGAGGAAAATGGAAGAAGTCATGGACTTAACAGAAAACATATGACCTAATACCTGCAGGTAACAGCCTCCACCCCCCCCCCCCCACCCCACCCCTCAATAAATGTTTATTGGTCTGTCCATTGGTCATTCTGTCTGCACATGTATGTACTATAACACTTTAATTTGGGAACAATATCTCTTAAAGCCTTTGAGCTTTTGCAATATCATTTCATATCACAACTCCTTACAGCCTAGAGAAGATCCCTATTGATTTGAGGTCAAAAGGTCAAGGTTGGAAATTCCTACAATACAAAAAAAACTCAAATAATAACTTTAGTTTCCCTTGAGCTTTTTCTGTTAAATTTTATATCATAATTCCCAATGACTTAAAGAAATCCCCTTTGATTTCAAAGTTAAAAGGTTTAGTTGAAAAATTCATATCTTGCAATAAATAATGTCCTGGTGATAACTTTGGTTCTCTTTGAGGTCTTGAATTTATTTCTTTAATAAAAAAAGACACCAATTGACTTTAAGGCCAAAAGCTGAAAGGTTAAGGTTGACCTTTTTCTTTTTCCATCTGCATTTTTTTTTTGGTCCAGTTCTTCCATCCTCATTTTTTTCCATAAGTGGGGGCCACAATTCTCTGAATTAGCTTGTTTTATATTTGGATCATTTGCAGGTTTGCATTAAACTCAATTAGCCATTTAAGGCATTTGGATCTCTTACAAAATAGGAAATAAAGGTGATTCAGGCTAGCATTGCCAAGGTCCCTTTGTTGTAAAATTGAAATTATTCCCTAATTCCCAATGTCATTTAGAACATCAAAATACATGCTCTTTTGCTTTTGGGTATAAATGAAAATTTACTGTACTAAAATGTCTTCTTTGATTATCATAATTATTGCAATATCAATTATGAACTTTAATTCAAACATCAATTTGTCATTGCTTTTACAGATTTTGAATTCATATCATCAGTGCATATAAATTGGTCAAAAGATGAAAGATCTCAGCATAAATTGTTCAGTCATGCAAAGCATATCCTGTCAAATGGAGATTACCCTCCCTTAAAGTGTCAAGTATCTCAGAAATTGGACTATTTGCAATACTGTTCAGGAATATTTTACAGTCAGTACATTTAGCAATAGGGCCTGTTGCACCATGCCAAGGTACAGAGTTGATGCTTCAAGCTGTCGACGGCATTCCAAAGGAAAAGGATGAAACTTTTTTTTAGCTCACCTGAGCCGAAGGCTCAAGTGAGCTTTTCTGATCGAAATATGTCCATTGTCTGTCGTCGTCGTTGTCGTGGTTGTAAACTTTTCACATTTTCATCTTCTTCTCAAGAACCACTGTGCCAATTTCAACCAAACTTTCCACAAAGTATCCTTGGGTAAAGGGAATTCAAGTTTGTTCAAATGAAGGGCCACACCTTCTTCCAAGGGGAGATAATCATGAATTTGTGAAAAATTGATGGCATCACCTAAAAACTTGTCAAGAACCACTGTGCTTGAAAATATGAAACTTATATGGAAGCATCCTCAGGTAGTGTAGATCCAAGTTTGTTCAAATCATGACTTCCAGGGGTAGGGTGGGGCTACAATGGGTGATCAAAGTTTTACTTAGGAATACATAGGAAAAAGCCTTTAAAAATCTTCTTCTCAGAAACAGCAAAGCCATGATTGATCATATTTAAAAGGAAGCATCCTCAAGTAGTGTAGGTTCAAATTTGTTCCAATCATGACCCCCGTGAGTAGGGTGGGGCCAGAATGGTCGATCAAAGTTTTGCATATAATACATGTACATAGGAAAAATTTGTAAAAATCTTCTTCTCAAGAACAGCAAAGCCATGATTGGTCATTTTTATATGGGTGCATCCTCAGGTAGTGAAGATTCAAGTTTGTTCCAGTCATGACCCCCCCTCCCCCCAGGGGTAGGGTGGGGCCACAATGGGTGATCAAAGTTTTACATAGGAATACATAGGAAAAAGCCTTTTAAAATCTTCTTCTCAAGAACAGCAAAGCCATAATTAGTCATATTTAAATGGAAGCATCCTCAGGTAATGTAGACTCAAATTTTGTTCAAATCATGACCCCCCCCCCCCCCCCCCCCAAGAGAATAGGGGGGCCATAACAGGGGATCAAAGTTATACAAAGGAATACAAATGTTATATCAATAAAAATTGTCTTGTTAAGAACAGCATAGCCATTATTTGTCATATTAATTCAAATATTATTATTTTGCTTTATTTCAGTGTAGTAGCTTCAAATGAGTTTTTAATTTTTTTTTTTTTTTTTGACAATTTAAAATTAGAGATCATCTTAGTAATAAAATTTTTTATAATGTTGCTGTCTTTAAATTTTCTCTGTAAAAGTAACATGTACATGTACATGATACATTTGGTATTTTTCAAATGCAGTTGAAGGAATTTAATTGAGCATTGTCAAATATTTCATTTAAATACTAGTTGTGTTTTTATGACTTTATGGTATTAAAAAAGACATAAACTTTGTTCTGTTCATTCATTTGTATAATTTTAGGGCAAACAAAATCAGCATTTGTATAAAATGTTTTGCATGTTTAAAAACAACTTTTGCAATGAAGAACTGTATGAAATTTGGGCAACACTGTGAAAAAGTGGATTTTATTTACTGATGTGTTCACACTTTTGAACACTCTCTCTGTTAAACTTGCAATTTTATGTATTTGCAGTTTTTGCAATGTGCATTTTCATGCTAAGGGATCCTGTAAAATGAGCCCCATAGCTACATGTATAGCCAGTTCATTGCTATAATACATTAAGCCTTGTCAAAAACTCATGATTTTTAGCTCTACTGGTTAGAGACCAGAAGAGCTTATGCGATAGTAAGGGGTTGGTCGTCTGTCTGTCCGTCAACAAAAGCTACTCCTACAGTTTTGGTCTGATTCCAATATTACTTGGCACAAGTAAAGTACACTGAGATACATAATTTTTTTTATCGGATTTTGATTTTGATGAACAGTGTTGCTATGGTTACTAAAATAGAAATTTCTGTAAAATTCTTTTAAAATCTACTCCCCCTTTAGTTTTAGTCAGATTTCCATGAAAAGAGACCAAATCAAGGATCATTATTCTATTTATTTCTGTTGCAAAGTCAAGTCCAACTGCTACTTATCTCTTCCTTTGTTAGAAGTACAAACCAGTAGAGCTACAGTCTCGAAAAAGACTTCTGGTTAAACAAATATTCAAATCATGCATCTTTGTGACATTCTGGATAAATATAAGCTAATTTCAGTCATGAAGATTGAAGGTCATGTGCCTGAAATGATTTAACGTTCAAAATGTAATCACTCTAGTCCAGTATGCCTTTCTACCCAGATATTGTGTAATTTTGCTAGGGTGAAAAAATCAACTAATTCAAATGTGCCACCAAATTGCCTGTTATTTTTACTTAAATATCTTAAAACAAATACTTCTTGATAAAAAATATAATCACTGAAGTGTCTCTTAAAATTCTATGCCTGTTTTTTCTACAGAATATCCCTTAGAATTATTGTGACCTTTTTGCACTTGCAGTTCTGCACTTACAAGAGTGAAAACTCCATTAATTTAAATTTGCAACCAAAATCCCATTAATACTAAATAATATATTTAAAAACAATCACTTTTTAAAAATATGAAATCAATGGAAGCGTTTCTTGGAATTTTATAGCTGTTTTTCTGCAGACTATTCAAATATCTTTATTTCTTACAATTATCGTGACCTTTTTGCACTCGTAGCTCTTCACATTCAAAAAGGTATGTGGAAAAAATTCTGTAAATATTTTTTTCAAAGGTTTTAATTCCTTAAATCCATTAGTTATGAAGATATTATGGAAATTTTTTTATACACAAACAGAATATGTACAAAAGGTGTTATTTTTCCATACTGGGTATAGAAATAGGCTGACGATAAACTAATTCTCCCTGTATCCATGGTAACAAATCAAATGACGTCACCAAACTTACGCAGTAAGTAAGTGACCTTGATCTTACTTTGTATGCAAAGTTTCAAGAAATTTTGAAAAACTTGCTTTCATAGCATTCTGCATGGTTTTCTCGTAGACACGCATTTAAGAACAACTGGACCACAAAAAGTATTTTTAAACCTTCTTGTAGCTTCCTTTTTGTTCAAATCATGGCCAAAGGGAGGAAGGAAGCGGGGGGGGGGGGGGGGGGATAGTGGATTCAGAGACCCTTTAGAGTTAGGATAGGGTCATAATATGAGTTCACAATTTTGCATGAGAAAATTAAGGAGAAAAACTCTTTATAAACATTAAGAAAAGCTTCTTTTACATGGGAAATGTTGTAGCCCATGGGACTCTTCTTTGCATGCATAGTAAAGGCAAAAAGACAAAAATAGATAACCCCTATTGTATTCATAAATTTGAATCTTACTTTTTAAGAAAAGTGTTATTTTCCAATTTAATATCTAATTTGAATGTTTTCACAGAGTCTTTTGCAATTGAGCAGGATGAGGAATCACACCAATCATTTGTAAATGAAAGCAGCAGTCACGATGTTGTCAATGAGAATGGTAATCTATATTTATGATGTTGTTTGGATGTTACAAATTAAAAGTTAACCCCATAAAAATGAACAGTCTTAAAATGATAATTTCTTTTTTAGAATTTTAAATAGGACATGATACAGGGCCACTTTTAAGTGATGAAGCAGACGAGTATGATGATGGTAATGATGATGAATCATACCATCCTTCAAGCGATGAAAAAAGCTGTGATGAAGATACCATTAATGATCTTGGTAATAAAGCTGAAAACAGAACTTTCTTAAGCTCAAGTAAGCTTTTCTGATCAAAGTTTGTCCATTGTCCATCTCCAGCGTCACTGTTGTTTCAAATTTTCAGCTCCTTCTCAAGAACCACTGCGTCAATTTCAACCAAACTTGCCACAAAGTATTCTTCGGTGGGGGATTCAAGTTTGTTCACATGAAAGGCATCACCCTATTTTAAGGGGATATAATCAAAAATAAGTGCAAATTTGATGGCATCTTTAAAAAAATCTTCTCCAGAAACAATGGGCAGAGTTGTTTACTTGTACAGCTTTTTAGTATTTTCCATGAATCTTCCGAGTAAAAAGGTGCTCTACAGATTCACGTTGAAAATATACAGATTTTCCCTAAAGACGGAAAAAATCAGAGTCGTTCCCGAAATTTGCCAATCAGTTTGATAAAGAAGCTTGTTGATTGAAGTGGTCTTATCAAAAATGATCTAAAAACAATATAATTAAGGCAAATGTAAAATATGTAAGCAACAGTAGACAGCATACGGTGACTTGCGTAGTTAGTGCTTAGTATTTGTATAACAAGGGGTTCTTCATATAAAAATGTCTAATAAGCTGAGTTGCATTTTTACTGACAAACTGCTCAAAATACTGACAACTTCTAGAATACTGACATCAGTTAGAAAAGTTAAACAGGTCTGAGTGGGCCAGAAAAATTATTCTCCAGAACAGCAAAGCCATGACAAGTCATATTAATACAGAAGCATACTCAGGTAATGTAGCTTGAAGTTTTATCAACTAATGACCCCTGGCAGAAGGGTGGGGACACAATGGGGCATAAGACTTTTACATGGAATTATATAGAAAATGTCTTTAAAGGCCTTCTTCTCAAGAACAGCAAAGCCATGATTTTGTTATATTAATACAGGAGTATTTTTCAGGTAGTGTACATTCAAATTTATTCAAATCGTAACATCAAGGGGTAGGATGGGAGAAGTAGTTTCAGGTTTGTTCAAATCATCACCCACAGGGCATAGGGTGGCACCAATTGTATAATTACTCAAACTTTCCAATACTGAACTGATTTCTGCTTTTCTCTTGCAAAAGGGCTCAGGTGTCATGGACCATGGGCCTCTTGTATAAGGTGTTATGTATTACATTGTACAATATGTAGATTGTTTAAAGTGAATTAAAATTCTGGCAGAATTTCTGTCTTGAATTTTAAGTATGACTGTTTCTTTATTACAGTTAAGGA